GATAACTATTTGTTCTACCTATTGACCCAAGTCATTAAAGGGAATATTGAAGAATAGAGGACGCAGGGCTGATTCTTCTGGCACCTCCCCCCCCGATACCTTCCACCTGATGAGGAACCATCAATGGGCACTCCTTGAGGAAGACTTTCAAGCCAGCTGTGGATCCCCTTAATTGTCAGGCCATCCGACCTCCTTTAATTCGCAGAAGAGGACTCTGACTCCCTCCAGATGGAGCTTTTACCAGACAAAATGCCTGATTTACCATAAAACTTTAATCCCATGAAACATCCAGATGACCCTGTCATCTTTCAGAGATAACTGAGTTTATCTGTTTCCTATTTCATTCTGATCAACCTCAAATAAAAAATACAAAATTCCGGTGATCTAGATATTTCACTGTAGCATTTTGGGGGGAGTATATGGGGCGTGTCTGTGTCACCCCCTCCCCCCTAGTTCTAGGAAGGGGGTGTGGAGTTGTTGCAAGCCCAGAAATGGTAAAAAATGGTATTTTCTGCTTCCAGAATTTCAGGATGAAAAAATGGAATATGGTAATATCCAACTTCCAGAGTGTCCCTGAAAGGACTAAAACAGATTTGGAGGATGTTTCAGGGGACAGATTTGAGGAGAACTTTAAATTCCTCTTGCCTAGAACTCATGACTCTCACTGAATAGCAGCCATGGCACTTGTGATTTGATACTTGGTAAAGAAACCAAAGGAGTATTTTATTGTGCCTGGGATATCAGCATAATATTTGATCATTGCTATACTGCAGTTTTGGAAGGCCAGTGTAAAAAAATGTCAGAGGAAGTTATCAGCATACACAGAGTTGCTTGACACAAGGCTTTTGCCTTTGGTTTTAGGCTGAGCCTCAGGAATCCCAGCAGATCACTGATCATAAAACAATGTCTGCACCTCTTTCTTAGGGCAGCAATGCACAGAGGTGTTTTGTTCTTTACAGGAGGAAAGCCATGTTCATCTATAATGGCAAAAAATCAGACTGGAAGCCCCTTTTCTGACTATTGATGCATCAGTCCAGCCACTCTGTGCATTTCCTGAAGGGAGCCACAGTTCACAAATTTTAATACAATTTGGTATTCAGAAAAGGGGCTACCCAACTCCTCCTGATTTTTGCACCTGTTTCTGGGGCTCAGCATAACTCTTCCTGCTCTGCTGGGTGCAGCAAACAGGGGTGGGAGAGAGGCTAAGGGAGGATCTGGGTGCATTTCCTCAGGATGGGCCAACCACTGGGGTGGGACTCCACTGCTTCCTTTCAAGAACCGAAAGCCGATTCTACGGACTGTTCCCTGCAGGTCCACAAACTTTAAACATGGGAAAAATCAATGGATTAAAGCTCAAGGGTGTTCACATCTGGACATACCTGGGGTCAAATTTCTCTCCCACAATCCTCCACCCTGAAAAAGAGCCCAGCCTCTCCCTCCCTGCAGATTCTCACCCTTCAAGGCTTTGTCCACAGGCTCCTGCAGGCCGTCGTGCTCCACGTGGCACCGATAGCGGTCCCTCTCTTGGGGATCAATCCGGATGCTGAGCCAGTAGTGGTAGGTCCCATCTGCATTGGGGGCCACAGACCCACGGAAGGTGTCCTGCAGCCAGACCTCCCCGTCCCTCCTCCAGGAGGCATCAATCTCCTTGGGGTAGAAGCCATCCACGCGGCAGACGTGAGTTTCCATCCCATCGTCGTCCTCCGTCCTGCTGCTCACCGTCACCACTGGGGCCTCTGCAGAAACGACACCCCCGGAATTAACTCTGAGCCCCTCCAGAGCCTGGAAGGGGGACAAGAAACTTGACGGGCTGGAAAGGCTCCCACTACTTAATTTTAACACAGGAGTTTAACACTCCACACCTGCAGCGTCTCCAAGAGTTTTAGGAAATGCTCCAAATCTGGAAAATGCTCAGCCACAAGGACTCCTGATTTTGAGTCCTTCCCAGTGATTCAGTCTGAAAAATCTCTGCCAGCAAATTGAGGGTCCAAGGAAATTCCACATGACCTGGTTTGAACTGACTGAACTTGGGCTGCTCCCTTCAGGGGAGGGGTACCGGAGCTGCTCTTTTAAGTTCCCTTTCAAAAAACAACACAGCAGTTTCTCCCTAGTTTTTCAGTCTTCTTCCGCTCCCCCCAATCTTAGGCTGCTCCAGGCCTCTTTCAAGGGACACAACCAAAATGTCAAGAGGAGGCGAGCCGGAATCAAAGCAAGGGGCTCAGGGCTTTTGGAGTTCCACCCTGGTTAATTTGGAAAAGCGATTCTGTGTCTCAAAGGGAGGCAAAGAGAGATGCTGCCAATGGGAGACTCAGCCCTCTCAGGGCAGCGAGGGGCTGCTGGCAATGGGGGGGGGGGGTTCCCACATGGAGCCTGATCTCATCCAGTGGATCCTGGAGGGATCAAGGAGCCCAGAGAGGGAAGGGGTGAAGCTAGAGGGGGAGGGGTGGTCTTGATGGGAAAACAACAACAAGCTCACAGGGAAAAAAAAGGGGGAGGAATATTATGAGAGGAAGCCCTGTGAGGGTCAAAGTGTCCCTGAAGGTGGAGAAGGGGTTGTTTTGAGGGGGGGAGTCACTAAGTCAGAGTTAAAGAACCTTTTTGGGTTTTAAGGGAAAGATCCACAGAATCCTTAGATTTTTTTTTCCCCCAGGAAAAAAAGACCCCTGAACCTTGGCCTTTTTTGCCCAAGTGGGGGCACTGATAATGTCCTTTTAATGGTAAAAGAGGTGCCCCCTAGTGGTGGGGGTGGGAGGTGCACCGTTAGGTTAGAGGGAGGGAGGGAGCCCCCTGTAGGATGTGGAGGGAAGGACAGTTGCTGGGAGGAAATCAAGGCCACGCATACATTTGGCCAGGTTTTGGCTAATGGTGGCTTCACTGAAGAACCCCAAGTGGCCCTGTTGCCTCCTCCTGGGCTGTGCACAGGACACCCCTAAGTGCATTTGCTGCCTGACCCACACAGACACCCGCCAGGCACTGGATTCTGGCCAGCCACACCTACAGCTTGGGAGGGCAGAGGCTGCAGTTCCTGGACAACTTAATGGCTGCCTGGCACTGGGAACTAAGCAGGGCTTCCTGCGTCCTGGAGAGGGGTGGAAGGGGAGGAGGGGGGTTCCGTCCCGGGCATCCAGGCTGCAGACCAGGGACCCAAAGGGGGCTGAATGTGTGCAAGAAATCTGACCATAAAGGAGGAAAGCCCAGCCTGGACCCAGATGCTCACCTCTCCTCAGCAGCGTCTCCTTCCCATAGGACAGGTACTTCTTCAGCCACTCAATGCATTCCTCCTCCATGTAGGCCTTACTTCTCTGATTAAATCCTGAATCAGCATCCCACTTCCTCTGGGTGATATGGGCTTGTGGGTCGGGAGCCACCCAGGTCAGGGTCTCCTTGTCAAAGGTGAGGAAGGTCCTCCCATTGTAGCCATGCTGCCCAAACCCTCCTTTGCTCCCATCTCCCCGGAGCTCACAGCCACACGTCCTCTGCACTGTGTGAAGGCCTGAAAGAGGGACAGGAAGAGGGTTTGGGGAGTCCCCAGAAACAGAGACCCCTCTGCCCTACAGGGACTATGACGCAGGATGGAGGCAGTGAGAAAAGGGATAAATAAGGTTGGAAAATGGAAGAGACATGTTTTCCCTTATGAAGCTCCTCAGCTCCCTCTAGATGAGGTCCAGAGACCCCCCATCCTGCCCCCAAACCATACCCTGAGGATCTCCAGACCTAGCTGCTCCCCACCTGAAACCCTCCCAGGTTTCCCTTCATCTTCTCCCTTCCCCAAACTCTCCTTATGGCTAAATGGCAGAAGAAGCAGCACCATCTTTGCCTGGGATCTGCAGAGCCCAAAGTTCTCTGTCTGGGACTTCCTGTTTGGGATGACACTGTTACATCTCTTGCCTCTCTCCTGATTAAAGTGTTATCAAACTTTTGAATTATGGGACTCTGTGGACAAAGACTTTGATCACTGGGTAAATCAAACTTTTTATTAAATATTACTTTGTTTTTAATGAGCTATTGGGATGACAACTAGACCCAAACGTTCAACAGCTGACTTAATTTCAGCTGTGTCACTATCTGCCAAGCCAGGAAAGATGGTAGAGGAAGATTCTCCTACTAATTA